CGTTACAGTGGTTTGAGAGCTATCTGTCTGAGAGAAGCATAGTTACCATGATTAATTATGTTATGTCAAATGAAAGAGTTTTAACTCATGGTGTCACTACTGGGCACACTTTTATTTACGATTTGTATAAATGATCTGCCTAAAATTTTCAATCTTTGTCACGTACATCTATACGCAGATGATACCGTAATTTATTTTTCGCATAAATGTCCCACTGTTGTTGAATCTGTCTTAAATGATGAAATGGAATATCTTGATAAATGGATGTCTCGCAATAAGTTATTAATCAATTATACAAAAACTGTTACCATGCTCATTGGCACCCGTAATAAGTTATCAAAGTGTAATGTACTTAATGTGAAAATAAGAGATACAAATATTGTTAAGGTTGACAGTACAAAATACCTCGGTATCAATATAGACAATAAATTAAAATGGGATATATAAATATAATGTGTCAGAAAATCAGTAAACTTATTGGCTTTCTTGGTAGATTAAGACATATTATAAATGAATCTGATTTGAATCTAATTTACAAATCCATAATTATTCCACATTTCGACAATGGAGACATGGTTTGGCAATCCGCAACTAAATCCTCCCTTTCACTTTTACAAAAGCTTCAAAACAGGGCGGGCCGTGTGATAATGAAAGTAAATCCTTATTCTCATACATCCAATCAACATGTTCATGATTCTCTAAATTGGGACTTTCTAGACTGCCGTTACAAAAAGCATGTATGTACTATGATTTTTAAGATATTAAATAATTACACTCGTCTTATATGTCAAATAATATCAACTTACGCACGTATAATTATTCATTTCGCTCATCCCGAAATCTAGATCTCCCTAAACCGAATTCAAATAATTGCAAAAGAACATTCTTCTATAGGGGGGCGACACAATATAACCAATTACCAGAACACATCAGAAATGTAACTACATTAAGACCCTTCCATACCCTAATAACTGATATTTTTTCTTAACACACTTCCTTAAACTCAAATGATTTTGCATAACTATGTGTGTGTGTGTGTGTGTGTGTACACGTATAATATTATTTTTGTATATTCTGTTACCTTGGTATTTAAAAAGTTGTATTTATGTTATGTTTCTATCCTGCTTTTAATATGTCGCTTTTATGTTAATAGTGTAGTGTAAGGACCCCAAGGAAGAACAGTAGTGTTCTATAAACACTGCTGAATTGGGCTATCCACCGATTTTTGTCTATGTACATGTATACATATTTTACTTTGTATTTTTTACTCTGTATAATATTTTCATCTGATTTCGGAAATAAAAACAACAACAACAACAAAGTGAAGTTCAACACTGTTGCCCGGAGGTATGTGCCCCACACATGCTACTCTCAGTAAATAATTAAAAGTTATATATAGATAGAATATTGCACATGATAAAAGTAAAATATAATACAAATTACTATAAAAAAAATATATATAATACCAATTAACATTGAATATCGGAAAGTTGAGAACAAAGAATGTATAACTGGCAATATAGGCATCATCCTGATCACAATTCAAAAGGGGAAGCATGCAAGGTATTTTTTTAAAATGTATAATAATAAAGAATGAAATTCAATAAGCAAAGTAGGCTTCCAAAATATGCACTGTGAACAGAAATGGTATAGATAAAATGGCAAGATGAAATATGTGTATATATTACTATTAAAAAAGGAATCTGAAAAAAATGGAAAAGAAATGGGGGTTCATCTTAATATCATATAACCTATAGTAAAAAGAATCAACACAACATGGATATCCAATTAAGAAAGAAAGAATTAAGATACAGTGGACAAGTGCGTGGTCATTAATGTAGGCATATGGATAAAGATATAACTTTAAGTGATCAAGAGGTGAGTCAGCAAGAGGAGGAGAGAAAAACTAGAGAAAGAGAGGCAGAAAAAGAAATCAAGCTAAGAAGAGACAGAGAGACAGAGAGACAGAGAGACAGAGCGCGAGGAGAGAGACAGAGAGAAAGACAGAGACAGAGACAGAAAGAGAGGAGAGACAGAGAGACAGAGAGGGAAAAGGAAAAAGAAGAGGAAATGATCACTGTACACATTATACTGGATAAAAACTTACAAGCACGAAATAGTTTGGAAGCCACATACATGTTCTTAAAATGTAATGTTATCATATACGCCTGACAGGCAATGACATTCGAGGGAGAAATAGAAGATAGGAGCAAAGTAAAAGAACAGAAGGAGTGGGAAAGAGTGATCAAGAAAAGTAAAATCATAGAGTGTAATCTATTAAATGTGATAGAGCAGACAAGAAAAAACAAAAGATTCAATATAATCTAATCAGGAAATAAGATTCTTTACGGAGAGAGAACTTTACTGAACTTGATGTCATTGGACAATGTGTCCCATAGTCGAGGTAGTCTTCTGGAGGGGGAAACTAAAGGGATTGTTTTCCAGAAGAAAGATGTCGAAAAGAAAGATCCTCCAGTCGACGTGGATTGATGAGTAAGTTCTCTTGAAGGGATTTATAGTCACATAAGCCTGAAAGGCTCTTATAAGCAAATGCACATAACACGTAGTCCCTCCTAGAAGAGAGTGAAGACCAGTCGAGTGCCAGAAGTCTTTTATCGTACGGCATCTCACCACGCCTCTGCTTCAGCGCTAAGCGAGTCGCCGTACGCTGAATATTCCCGATTTGTTTAATTTGGGTTCGGGTCATCAGGTGCCAGGCCGGAATGCTATATTCAAGGAATGGCAAGATGAGAACTTTATGCAATGTGAATATGGCATTAGTAGAAGCACCGCGTGCAACTACTCGGATAAAACCAAATAGACGGTTGGTCCTAGAAACAACATAATCAATATGTGAGTTCCAAGACAAGTCTGAGCTAATTGTTATGCTTAAGTATTGAAAAGAAGGTACTGAAGATATGCATGTGTTGGGTCTGTTTCTTGCTGGTTATATGTATTATTTTGATCTTGCTTGGGTTGAAAGACATACCATTGCTGGCAGTCCACTGTATCAAGGTGTCCAAGTATTTTTGAAGTAGGATTTGGTTAGCAACAGAAGAGATTACACGGAATAACAAGAGATCATCTGCAAAGAAAACAATTTCAGATAAGAGAGAAATAGAAATATCATTAATAAAGAGGTTAAAGAGCTTGGGCCCCAGTACTCTCACTTGTGGAATCCCAGAGGGAACATGAATCCAAGGAGAAGAGAAGAGAGCAGACTGATAACGGTTAGAAAGTAAAGAGCGAATCCACCTTCACATGTTGCCCTGAATATTGAACTGAGAGGATAGTTTGGCAAGAAGGACATTGTAAGGCATTTTGTCGAATTCTTACGACATGTCCAGAAACACTGCGTCAATTCGTGGTGGGGACCGCCCTATGGAGCACATTCACAAGCTGAGTTATGCAGCTCGTCCTTCTGGTAAACTCATGCTGGTTTATGTTAAGGAGACGATATGAACCGACAGAATAATCAATTGCCTCCACGATAATTTTCTCAAGTACTCTGCACAACACAGATGTTAATGCAACTGGTCGGTAATGGCAATAGAGGACGTTTCACAAGTCTTAAACACAGGGGTAATATGGGCCCATTTCCAAAAAGACGGGACAGTTCCACTGTGAAGAGATGCATAGTACGATATTGAGAGACGGTGTGAAATGTCAAAAGCAATGTGACTGAGAACACTGGGTAGTAAGCCGTCTTGTCCTGGAGGTTTGTTCTTGGATAGGCCAAGAAGAGCAGAATAAATGTCAAAGGTAGAGACGGACAGGAGGAATAGTCAAAGAGCAAGTAGAAGGAGCATCATGAAGAGGTAAAGAAGGACCAAAAACAGATGAGAAAAAAGAGCTGAATGCATAACATGTGGTCCTACATGCTTCCGATTACGTACAAATGACCAGAGTTTACGCCTATTATTTTTACAAGCATAGGGAGAGTTTCCATAAACCCAGTAGGATTGTATAGATTATATCCTTACCTTATTTATAAAAGTTTTTAAAAGCAACCCAATCATCATTTTGTCCTTCTAGTGATTCTAAATAATGCATTTTCTGTACCATATATGGGCTTCTTTAGTTCAATTGAACTGAGATCCAGGGGGAACATTTGGATTTTTTTCAAAGTTCGAGGGATAGCGTCGTTAACAGCAGCATGAAATAAGTCGAGAAATAGTTCGTATCTTTCTTCAATGTTTGACGGATCTAGAAGTGAGTTCCAGGGTATAAGATGTAAAATACGTCGAAGATGATCAAAATCTGCCTATTTCAAATGACAAATGAAGGTAGAACTGAAGGCGTGGGGGCAGGCTTCAATAAACGAAAAACAACTTGAACAGCGACAGGGTTGGACTTGTGCCATGCAAGACATCATCGCGCGTGGTAAACACAAGATCAATGATATAGTTTGTATAGTTATTGTGTACCAACTGACTCATAAAGGTATTATGAGTTAAGCACAGATAAGTTCATTCGTGTTAAGGCTATTTATGCCAGAGTTATTAGTTCTAATGTCATAGAATATTTAATGAACTGGGGTTTCCTGCATTTCAATATACCATGCAGATATATAGGATATAGATTTTAGGCAGCAATATTTGGTGATACGATCAGAAATTTATCGGATATACATATTTTGTTCAAGTCAGCATACAGTGCATCCATTATCGTAGATGAGATCGGATTGTGCTATATATTTTTTGGTTTATAAGCAAGTGATTCATTATTGATTATGTTATCTATAAATTTGCAGAGTGAACACCATCATTATCATCGTTATCAAAGAATCAAGAACATAACAAGAAGTGTACGGACTGCAATACAACTCGCAGCAGAAACGCATCATCTTGATGTCACCATATATTTGATAAAACAAAAGCTGAGGTGAATATAAAGGGAGATATAATAACGGTTGGCCTGCATTACGCAATACTGATAAGAAAAATCATCCTGATGTCACAACTTATCTGATCAGTCAAAGAGCTGAAGTGAATTGTAGAATGGGTAACCGTTTGAGTTCATTAAACAGTGCTGCTAGTAACGGTTATCTTGATGTCACCAAAAAGCTGATCAGTCAAGGAGCTGACGTGAATAAGGGAGACGATGTCGGTTGCACTGCATTACACAATGCTTCTAAGAATTGTCACCTTGATGTCATCATATATCTGATCAGCCAAGGAGCTGAGGTGAACAGGGGAAAGGATAACGGCTGTAATGCATTACACAATGCTGCTAAGCATGGTCATCTTGATGCCGCCAAATATCTGATCAGCCAAGGAGCTGACGTGAATAAAGGAGATAATTACGGTTGGACTGCATTGCACGGTGCTGCTTCGAATGGTCATCTTGACGTCACCACACATCTGATCGGACAAAGAGCTGAAGTGAATAAGGGAAACAATAAGGGTTGGACTGCATTGCACAGTGCTGCTTCGAACGGTCATCTTGATGTCTCCAAATATCTTATCAGTCGAGGAGCTCAGGTGAATACGAAAGATGATGAGGGTTGGACCATATTGCACACTGCTGCTTCAAACGGTCATCTTGATGTCTCCAAATATCTCATCAGTCAAGGAGCTGAGGTGAATACGGGAGGTGATGAGGGTTGGACTGCATTGCACAGTACCGCTTCAAACAATCATCTTGATGTCACCACATATCTAATCAGTCAAGGAGCTGAGATGAATAAGGGAGATAATGACGGGTGGACTGCATTGCACAGTGCTGCTTCAAACGGTCATCTTGATGTCACCAAATATCTGATCAGTCAAGGAGCTGACATGAATGGGGGAAATAATGACGGGTGGACTGCATTGCACGGTGCTGCTTCAAACGGTCATCTTGATGTCACCAAATGTCTCATCAGTCAAGGAGCTGATGTGTTTAAGGGAGACAACGACGGTTGCACTGTATTCCATTGTGCTGCTAAGAATGGTCATCTTGATGTCATCAAATATCTGATCAGTCAAGGAGCTGACGTGATAAAGGGAGATAATGAGGGTTGGGCTACATTGCACACTGCTGCTTCAAACGGTCATCTTGATGTCACCAAATATCTCATTTGTCAAGGAGCTGAGATGAATACGGGAAATGATGACGGTTGGACTGCATTGCACGGTGCTGCTTTAAACGGTAATCTTGCTGTCACCAAATATCTTATTAGTCAAGGAGCTGATGTGAATAAGACAGATAATGGCGGTTGCACCGTATTTCATAGTGCTGTTTCGAATGGTCATCTCGATGTCGTCAAATATCTATTCAGTAAAGGCGCTGAAGTCAATAGGGGAAGCAATGACGGTTGGACTGCATTACACATTGCTACTTCAAAAGGTCATCTTAATGTCTCCAAATATCTCATCAGTCAAAGAGCTGAGGTGAATAAGAGAAGCAATAAGGGTTGGACTGCATTGCACATTGCTGCTTCGAACGGTCATCTTGATGTCACCAAATATCTCATCAGTCAAGGATCTGAGATGAATAAGGGAAATAATGACGGTTGGACTCCATTGCACAGTGCTACTTCGAACGGTCATCTTGATGTCACCAAATATCTGATCAGTCAAGGAGCTGAGCTGAATAAGGGAGATAATGAGGGTTGCACTTTCTTACACAATGCTGCTTCGAACGGTCATCTTGATGTCACCAAAGTTCTGATCAGTCAAGGCGCTGAGGTGAATAGGGTAAATTATAACGGTTGGATTGCATTGCACAGCGCTGCTAAGAATGGTCATCTTGATGTCATCAAACATCTTATCAGTCAAGGGGCTGAAGTGGATAGGGGAAAAGCTAGCGGTTGGACTGCATTGCACTGTGCCGCTAAGCATGGTCATGTTGATGTCACCAAATATCTGATCAGTCAAGGAGCTGAGATTAATAAGGAGGATAATAAGGGTTGCACTTTATTACACAGTGCTGCTTCGAACGGTCATCTTGATGTCACCAAATATCTTATCAGTCAGGGAGCTGAAGTCAATGGGGGAAATTATAACGGTTTGACTGCATTGCACAGCGCTGCTAAGAATGGTCATCTTGATGTCACCGAATATCTTATCAATCAAGGAGCTGAAGTGAATAGGGGAAGCGATGATGGTTGGGCTGTATTACACAGTGCTGCTACGAACGGTCATATTGATGTCACAAAATATCTCATCAGTCAAGGAGCTGAAGTGAATAGGGGAAAGGATAACGGTTGGACTGCATTGCACAGTGCTGTTTGGAACGGTTATCTTGATGTCACCAAATACCTCGTCAGTCAAGGAGCTGAGGTAACTAAGGGAGATAATGAGGGTTGGACATCATTGCACAGTGCTGCTTTGAACGGTTATCTTGATATCACCAAATATCTGATCAGTCAGGGAGCTGAGGTAAATAGGGGAAATAATGACGGTTGGGCAGCACTACACAGTTCTGCTAATATAGGTCATCTTGATGTCACCAGATATCTCATCAGTCAAGGGGCTGATGTGAACAGGGGAAAGGATGACGGTCGGAATGCATTACACATTGCTGCCCAGCACGGTCTTCTTGATGTCACCAAATATCTGATCAGTCAAGGAGCTGACGTGACAAAGAACGATAAGGATGGTAGGACACCTTTACACTATGCCGTTCAGAAAGGTTACCTTGAAGTTGTTGAAGTCCTTTTGGCAGGAGGAGCACGTTTTGACAAAGGGGACATTCATGGACAGACACCTCTACAACTGTGTTTAATCCTTGGGTACCAAAGTATCGCTGATCTATTCATCGACCGTTTGAATTCCAAGGTAAATATTTTAACCCCATGCTTTATGTCAAATGTATCTATCTCGATTTTACACCATACAATTCATACATGTCAAATAACAAGTTATAACATTTATTTTAGTTGGTATAAGGCTTAGGTCACCTATCGTCATGTATTGAGACTTGACTAGCTCCAGCTTTACTTCCCATATCCCACCACTTTTATATTGTTAAGCAAGTTGGACCTCAGTCATATTGCATACACTTTCTTTTAAGTTACATGGTTGGTTGAAAGGTACTCATATCATTGCATTTAATTTGATCACAAGTCAGTACTTTTCATCACAGAAATGGGGGTTTCATAGCAACTGTTTTTCAATTACTAATTAGTTTTGATGCTGTGTATTTTCTTTTATTCAGCTCGATGAGACCAAATTTACGTATATCTATCATGCTACGCAACACGGACATACCTCTACAATTGAGAAGTTAGTCTCTAAGGGAGGTGACCTCAATGTCCAGTCAAGTGATGGCCAGACGTGTCTCCATAAAGCCATTAAACTCTGCTATGAGAGCAGGAAAATTGTGCAAAAAACTGATACACTTAGAAAGGTGAGTCATATCCAGTAACGCCAATGAGACAGACACCCAAATGATCACAGTCTGAGTAACAAATAACATTTCCTATAACCTCCAAATATATATATAATTTTTAATTTACATTAAAACGTTAAGGCGGTGTGAATGAAATACAATGCTTCTAAATTGAGAAACGGATACCCATGATTTTACCAAGAATATGTGTGTATGTGTGAGAGTTTTTTTTTTTTTTTTTTTTTTTTTTTTTTTTTGGGGGGGGGGGGTTTACATAGAACGTCAATAGGGACTTACACTACTGTGAATCTAAGAGGCAGCATACAATTATGTTTGTGATGAAAATCCAACTTGACTATTGATGGACGACACTGGTCTAAGAAAAACGGTATACATGTATGTTTGTACTTTTCAGATCTCTGATGAGTATTACAAGGGCGACCTATCACCTGAGAAGGCCTTGGTGTTTTATCTCCTGGATAATGGAGCCAAGTCAGATGTGAAGGATGAGACGGGACACCTACCAATCCATTACGCCAAGGACGAAGTGGTCAAACAGATGATTTTGTCCAGGTGACTCTATAAAGTCTAAAAGTTGTAAGGCAATTGTTAGGCAAATATTATCAAAACGAAAATTAAATAATGCATGCTTCTATCTTGATCTTTTGAGATTTGGTAACTGAATGACACATTTTAATAGAAAGTCTATGATCTTAATTGTAAATCTTAAAGTTTGATTACACATTACATGTATTTGAAGAAGAAAAAAATAAGTTGGTAAACCTGTCTATTGTAACTATTAATTTGTTTGGGACTACTAAGTTAAACCTACTGCAGTGGGTCGACTACTAAGTCTCATCTTTGTTTTCTTTTTCATGAGATAGACAGTTTATATATTTTTGTTAAACAAATTCGTTTATAACATATTATATCTATCTGTTGTTGTTTAATGTTTGGATAATGTGTGAATGGTATTTTAAGGCATTACCAGTTGCAAAATATCTGTTATATTCTTCTTTACATACCTAATGCGATGATTAGAGTCTCAGTTTTGTTATAACTGGTCCTCATAAGTGTCTGACGCTCAATAGTTGTTCAATTTCCTGTCCATGTCATTTATTTCATTTTTTATAAGTGCAAACTTGAACGTGTTTTCACATTGTATAACAAATATTTTATCTTAAAATGATTCATTTCAGATTACCTTCTGTAGAGGAAATCCAGTCTTATCGAGGTAAGAAATCCTTCAAACACAAACGGCCTTTTTCAGTGTAAAATTCTCAACAAGTACTTCTATCTTTTTCTCATCCATTAAGTTACAGATTAAAGTCTATCGATGATTATATTTAGTTTTCCTTCTCGAAAAAATAAGGAAGTTTGATAATCCTCGACTCGTATTGTAGACCCATCTTATAAAGAATAATACACACTTTTAGCTCGTGCATTAGTAATATGCACTGCACTTGGTTAAGTCACAATGAAACGGACGATTAACTCGACAAGACAGTCTCGTTAATTCTCCTAATGTGACTTAACCTGCGTGCATATTCACTAATGCACTCGCAAACAAGTACTATTTGTATATTTTGAGTGTGAACAATACTGAGAGGAAAACTATATTTATATATTGGTATTTAACTCCATGACTATCCCAATCTGCTGATCCATTTACTTAGTAGTTTATGTAATGTTTTGATTATATTGTCATTGACTATGGTTGAAATAAACAACAGATGAGCCATCAGCACCTGTCATGGCCTCTCTTCAAGTCGAAAGGAATGCCTGTCAGGAAATCAAACTAGAAGACCATGGCGTATCACTGTTTGTTCCTCCGAAGGCTGTTCATCAGAATGACTCGAGCAATATCACCATAACCCTCTTAAGAGACCCTCTCAATGTTGACATCCGAGATGATGAATCAATAGCCTGTTTTGGGATCAGATGTGACCCTCCGACCATGATGTTTCACCAACCTGTTAAGATCATTATACCGCACTCTTCCTTGGTCGTCAACTCTGATCTAGTGAAGCCAGACATCGTTTCCCGTGCATGGGATTCAGTCAAAGGTAACTTTATTAGGTCGATCACATTCAGAAAAGTAACAATTTTTAATGCTAGGATAAATGGAAATTGATAAACCGAGATCGACTTTAAGCGTACCAAGCCAACCATGTTGTATTTGTAGAGCAAGCGGAACGAGCGGCCATCTAAAGTGGCCACCGGTGCTATACAAGAAGCCTTCATCGTCATCATCATGTTAAAACCATTGAAAAATTGTATTCAAAATCTATTATATTCTTGTCCCTCTTCGCTAGTTGTACAAACCACCATCGGGTGTATTGATAGAGACGATTGGCCTTGACTTCCAACGCTTTCAAAGTGATCTCGTGGGTTAGTAGTTGAAGCTCTAATCTCGTTATCATCACAATGCCAAAATGTCGTTAGAAACAATTTGCAACTAACATGTATCCTTGGAAATAGTCAAAAGAGAGGAAGGGGTAAAAAGGGAGTTGAGGATTTAAATAAATTAAATTTTCGTAGAGTTGTTTTGGTCAAGTGGATACGTCGCCGGACTGTCGATCGCAAGCTCCGCGGTTCGAGTCATTTCGCGGCACTAATTTCCTTCGGCAAGACATTGATCTACATTTGCCACTCTCCACCAAGGTGTTAATGGGTACCCGGTAGGATGCGAAGGCCAATGTAGTATGCTTAGCAATTTGAGCCTAGTAGCTCTTGCTGAAATGCTCCCAAGGGAGTGGAGAAAGTGCATACATTGTGTTCGGGCAAGCCAGAATCCGATGACCAGGGAAATAATGTAAAGCGCATAGAAACTCGAAAATCGCCGATGTATCAAGCGCTATTTAAGCAGAATATAATTATTTAAAATCATTGAATATGGCTTATTAAATATGGCTTATTAAATTAAAAACTACTTAAATTGATTATTCTTTACAAGGACACCCACTAGTAATATAAATATTCGATAACAGTTTATATCGGAGGTGTAACAGTGAATAGAACAAACGTATTTTGTTTTGTTACCCACTAACACCAGATCTACCAATAACATCAAGAAAGAGATCCTCCAGCACGCCAGACGTACCACCATACTGCAGGGTGTACAAGAGACATCTTGAGCTGTACATTGATCACTGTGCTGAATGGTGGGTTCTAATTCCTTTCGAACAACAGGTGATCCGACACCAATATGTGTGTACCCCCTACATCCCAGACAGGATAGAGAGGGGACAAACGTTTGAGGTTCATCTCCAGATGCATGCGGACCTTCCTGGGATCGAAAAGGTTAGTGAAAAGCCCCTGAGTAAATTTGTAACCAATTTCCAGATTGTATTACTAACAATTACTCCGAGACATTTCACAAGTTTATTTTGGCTTCTTCAGGCAGTCCGATTCCAGTTTTATGGGAAGCCTATCCTAATGCTTCTTGATGAATTACAATATTCATGAAACAATAAAGAAATCATAGTAATTGTAATTTTCTTCAAATGAGATGAACAATTTGGAAGAAATGTTGCAAAGTAGAAACTTAATGTTTCCATGCCTTGAAATATAAGTTTTGATAATTTTGACCTCAATAAACTAGTCAATGATTTGCCATGGTTTTCAAAAGCTACATAAAGCCATTCACATAGAAATTAATTCATCGTTATCGTTGCAGAGGAGAAAATAACTTGTGTATAGCTTCCAAGGTATGATTCTAGGGAATTTTAATTAGTAGACAACCAATTTCCTCAATATCAATGCGCCACACAGGATACCTTGTTGTCATATCAACTACATACATCTTCACGCAATAGGTAGAATATAATAATTTTCCCAAACACTAGGGATCTTAAACGAACCCTTGTGTCACTTTGAACCCTTTAGTATTGGTTAAAGAAAATTAATTGATACTAGAAGAACCTTCACACTTTCCGTGGAGTATGGATCTTTTAAGAACCGTGATTGCTCACTACCAAGAATCACTGTAAAAACTATTATTTTTTTCTGTTGAGGTTGAAACATTTTCTTTGCTGAAAGGAAAATATGTTTTTGCATTAATGAGAGTCGACGGTGCTTCATCTCTTCCTTTGAAATAGAATATACAAGTTGAGAAGAAGCAGCAGTCGTACCGTAAGAACCATCGCTCCGTTCCCTTCAGTGTTGAATCTAAGTCTGGTGATGTGACCGTGACGTGTCATCGTGAAGGCCTCCAAGTTGAAAGCACGGTGATCAAAATTTAAAACCATTTATATGATGTTTAAGTTTTTATATATACTAATCTATAGCCAACATATAATCTTTTAGTTTTCATAGCAAATGCTCTATAATGATCAAATTCTTCTCTGTTTTCATAAAAAAGTTATCCACGTTCGATAAAAAAATGCCAGAGGTAAAACATATCAGAGGTAACCATTTCATATTTGAACAAGAGAGAGAAAGACATCTATCATTCTTACCTCTAGCATTATTTCTTTATGCATATACCTGTTCGTTTACCTCTTTCATTTTTCCCTTTGGAATTGTTACCCTGGGACTGTGCTTTGTTCTTTGTCAATCTGACATTTTTACATCTTTGTTCACTGATATCTTTACCTTTGACATCTCACATTTTTACATGTGACATTTTTACCGGGCACTCTAACTTAATTCCATGTTTGATGAAGTTATCCGACATGAACATCACCCTATAATTGATGCTTAAGGTTTGATGGATATACATTTGACAACTAGGAGGAGGAAGGGGGCATTTATATATGACCTATAATATGAATTAAATGTTTTTCATATGCACTCTTCTGATCTAGGGAGTGTTTCACAAAGATCCTAAGTAGAACTTAACACTAAGTTGGACTTAAAAAGTATGGACAGCCATTGGGGCCTTAAAATGAAATATATGCAAAAGCAAAAATTGGAGTATTTTAGACTTTTCATCAATTCCACATCAAGAACATGAAATCTCCCATGATAATAGAAAATATAAATGATTTGAATCAACATTTTATGCCTTCTAAAAAAAAAATACAAAATGTTTTCAAGGATGCTAATGGCTTCCCATAAATTTTAAGTCCAACTTAAAGATAAGTTCAACTTAGGATCTTTGTGAAACACCCCCCAGGGGAATACATCCATGTTAAACACGATCGCAAAACAAGCAAACCGTTTAAAGCAATTTTAATAGCCTTGTACGTCATCTATTGAAATGTGCGAATATTACAATGATATAAATGAACATAATTTACATTGGATATACCGTAATGTATTGAAATTAACTTTGAGCTGATTTATCTAAAAAAAAGATGTGATCTTGTTGGTAACAACAGATACTATAACACATTAACACGTCTCAATGTTGTTTTAATTTTCCTTATAGTAGCATAGTTTTAATGTAATATTGTTATTTGTTTTCTATTTAACAACACAGGTTCTCTCTCTAAAGGATGTTTATGGCAAAATGAGCCACAACATAACGCTGTCCGTGACTCCTATTGAGGACGATGTAGAATTCACAGAGATTACCATTACGATTACACAGGCTGGAAGGCTAGGGGTTTCTAGATCCATTGCTTGTATCATAAGATACACAGGTATGTGTAGTCTCTGTTTGTTATATGTTTGTGCACTTAATAACAAATTGCTAGTCACTGTGAGTTCGTGGTAAAAACTCTAAAGTATGATGAAATAAAGAACGTGAACTTTTTTGAGAATTTCACAAGAAACTATTAACTAAAGCCTAGAGATCATTGCATTTGAGTGTTGCATATCAATACACAATGAAAAATTGAGATTATACGAAAAATGAATCCAAATTACAGTTCAGAATAATATTTACTTTTATTTAATTGGATTTTTTCGCCGACAGTTCGTCATAGAATTCGAAATGTGGGTATATTTATTTTCGCGTTCTTGTAATCTTCATTATCAATAAACTCTTGTACAAGCAATCTTCCGTAATTTTAATCATGACACAAAAGATTCAGCAAACTGTTTGAAAAGAGACAATAGTAATACAAAAAATAGAAGTCAATTTTGTATTTTCTCTTTAATTTGCCTTCAATTTTTGTTATAGATGGACAGGGGTACCGATTTCCTTTTGAGCCCCCGTCATTTTTGCGGTAAGTTTCAAATAATAAGTCATTGATAATAATGCCGTTTTAAAAAAGCTGCATTTATATCAGCTTCGTCGGAATGAAACTTTATACTCTCTATAACTTGTGGGTTAGGTCAAACCAATACATTATTTATTTTTCATTTCAGGACTTAAAACAAAATAATTATAAATGCAAACAGATCACGTGAAAGAAATGAAAAGGGGTATTTTCCCCATCTCATTTTATTTACGTTGCAAATGTGTTTTAAAAATTGATTCAGCAAAAAATTCTCCGATACTAGGCTCTAATTTGTCAAAGATATCTTTAGGGCCGAGCAGGGTATCGAAATTGTTATTACCCAGGAATGAAATTTCTCGAAAACAATTGCACCGTGTTCAATATGTTTCAATACGTGAATGCCCAACTTCAAATCAAGACAAAAAATTCAAGTATGATGTATAGGGGCAAGCATAAGGATTTTTACAATTTTTCATTAGCGTCAGGCTGTTGTTTAAACCAATAAACCATCGTTTAAAAGTAAAAGGTTAACAAAGCCATCGATGTACTAAAACACCTTCACCTTGTCTTGCAGGGCAGTGGAAGAAGTCTTGAAAAGTGATCTGCCGGACATTGATGTCCTTACAATAGCCCAAACAATGACAGTAGACCAGTTCTATGATTTAGGCGTAGCTCTTGGTTTCACCATACAAGAACTGGATGTCATAGAATACAGGAGGTTCCATGACAGAGAGCAGGCCATCTATGACATGCTGGTGACATGGAGAGAGAGACAGTCGTCTGGCCAAGCAGCAAAGGACATATTTCTCTCACTCATAGATTCACCAGTAGAAGAAATGGCCATCTCAGGTTTGACTTTCGAAAAAAAAGTGTCTCTTTGTCTTTATATTAGTTAATGTCCATTTTGAGGAAAATACTAGCCTGTAAAACACTGGAAATATCAAGTGAAAGACAATTTCTCTGTTTTTTGAAATCCTACCAACATCAAACCCAAATCATTAAAAGATTAGGCTTCGACTTTTCTGATAACCTAGAGATTAGTATATACTAGTAATTAGAGTTGTTTTTCAAGCAATTTAGAGGGATAAAGTTCAATAATCAGGATCACTTTCGAAAATAAATATAGTTTCTTGGCATATTAGCACCACTTTCAACTATTAGTTCAGTTATGTTCGCCGCTAAAAGTTAGCTTTGAGGATAGATTTAGGAATAAGGTCCACTGAACCTAATTCGAGACACGCATGGAGCATAATTCAATTACTGCCAAGGGGGTAAATTAGAGTTGGAGAGCTATTAATAATGCGAATGACCAAAGGCGTGTAATGTAGGGAGAAATAGGTATTTGAGTTACGCCAAGATATTGCAACATATTAAACCTGTCTCTTATATAACAAATAGGGGTGGGTAGTCAACATAATACTTGTATTCCCACATCGGAAGAAGGGATTGAGGGTGAAAGAGATATTAAAGTAAAGGCTTGGTCTGTTTAAACGTGGCTAACAACTAGCTTGATTTCATTTAATAGCTTTCATATTTGTATTTATGTTGATATATTTATGTTTTACTTGGGCTAGATCTACATGCATCAGACGTTGGATCTACCGGGTAAGATTCAAATTTATCCACTTCTTTATTTAACCCTAAAGGTATCTATACGGTTGGTCATATAGTCATATAGCGAGTGTTTGTTTTGCGTGACTGTTAAATTGTTTGTGTGCTACTATGCTAATCAACTAGGGGACCTACGCCCTTAAGTCATAACTGACAGTCATGAGGATTAATGCTCACAAAAGGGCATTAATATAGCTGATCGACACGGTTTTTATTCTTGGGCCTCATAGAAACGAGGCAATTGCTTAGCCACTGAATTATGACTGTACGCAGCAGGGGGTAAGGGTACATCGCCGCCCCCACAAAAACAAAGAAAATGCAATTTAAGTAAAAAATAATTCATTGCATTTCCCCCCGGTCCCCAACAGGAACAATTCCTATGTAGGGTCATGCATTATGGTTCATGGTATGCCCATATAGAGGATTTTTTTATGTTCGGGGTAGGGACAAAATGCAATAAATCGTTGATAATTTATTGCATTTTCTTTGTTTTTTTTGTATTGTGTTTTCCTTCAATAATGAATTATCAAAAAATGTAAATTCTGTAGATTTGTGACCATGATTTGTACGTCCTGTGAGAGACCTATGCTGGAGTAAATGGTGAGAGCAAAAAGTGGCAAGATGAACAGCCTGCCATATTTAAGTCCAACTTAAAGTCGATCTTAGTCTTTGTGAAACACCACCCTGTTCTACTTGTTGTTCCTCTTCTTCGTGCATTTGACTATTACATCTGGGTACATCTTTCTTCTTAAAAACTTCTTCAGCTTCAGTGACAGGCAAATTGTTTCCCATTTGATGACTACCTTATTCTGCATCTCATCTCTGCTTCCTGCAACTTGGACAGTTTATCATTTGCTATCTTAGGTTGTTTACGTTCTGGCTGCCAACTATAATACCCTTCATGTCGGATATTTCACAAATTTTCTTCTCATTATACAGCGAGAATTGGTCTGGTGACATTACGCAGCCTTGCCATACTCCTTGGTGCCATGGTGTAGTCTGTAAAGCTCAAATAAACATCTTTATGTACCTCCAATGTTCTTTCAGTTAGTACATGGAGGGCAAACATAGCAATCCTAGTTCCCATACTGTCTGTAAAACCATACTGCACTTCTGATATATCTGATGGAATACATGATTTTACTCTCATAAGGAGAACTCTCAGTATGAGCTTTGTGACATGGCTTAATATCAAACCGATTGTCCTGTGCAGCTCGCATTTTAGTATCTGACTTTTGGGGTAGAGCTATGAAGATTACTTGCACAAATCTTCGGGAATTTCTGCACAGACTGTCAGAGATTATGTTAGCAAAACCTGCAGCGTTTCAATTGGTTCGTTATCAGGTCCAACTGTTTTCCAGTGGTGTTTAAATACGCCAAATGAAAAGAAAATGGCAGTGGCTGTGCTGAGCAATACTACTGTATTGCTCAGTGCGGGGGCATAGCTTTAAGATCAAAACCCCCATAAGAGCCAAAGGCGATGAAAGAGAACAAATACAAACACCTGAATTAATACAATTTGAAATTATACAGATTGCGAGGGACAAAAGATGAGGAAAGAGAAAGATGGTAGGAAAAGAAGGACGGAGGGGGAGGGGAACTAGCTTACAGAGAGAGCAAAATAAAAAATAAAAACGCACAACGCCCCCACATACTAAATCCTAGAAACACTCATTAGAATCTTAAGGTGATTTCATAGGACCTTTTTTAATTTTCAAAAAAGAAGTGACCCCCCCCCCCCCCCCCCCCCAAGTACTTATTAGTTGTGTGACTTAAACTTTATCTGCTGATACAGAGACATTCCTGACAGGACATTGCTTGAGTTGGGCCGTCAGATCGCATCCGCAAAGAAGTTCTATGAGATTGGCGAGAAGCTGGGATTCAACAAGACAGAGTTACAACACATCGAACATCGGACATTAAACAATAGGAAAGACGCTAACATCCAGATGCTTTCAAGGTGGAAGGCATCACAGACTTCTGGGCCTAAAGCGAAGCAAACATTGAAGCTTGTGTGGAAGTCTCTGCAGGACGCATCGAAAGCGGAGCAAACTGAAGGTATCAAACATATTGTTTTCAAGTGCAACACAAGAGAGAATCATTCAAGTTTATCATCATATATTGGAATAGATAGAACTTGATTTAATGTCACTGCCTTATGAATATGCATGATAACATTCAATCAATTCACTTTCCTGTATTCCACGGTTATATATATTAAGTGCAGCCATTTGATATTTTTGTTACTGTTTTCCGCAACATTAAATGTATACAAGATATTAAACTTGGACATTATTCTCTTGGTCTCTTTGAACATTATGTAAGCCATTTATTAAGTAAGAGCAGCAACCATTGGATACGTCTTATGAGTGACTTAAATGAAGCACCATTATATGTACCATATTATACTATTCTATGGTCTTAATGGCTTAATACTTTATATCTTGTAGACGAAGAAAAAGAAAAGGTTTCTCAAGAAATGGGAGTGAATTCTACTTCACCGTCTGATCAAAGAAGAGAGCAAGTGAATGCTGTAGAGCCTGAAGATATGGAGATCTTTAGAAATTCGGATTCAGGTACATGTATGTTATAGTTCTACGGATGGCCTGTCACAGAACGATGGCTGTCATTATGTTGTATCAATACGTTAGCGTCTACGATAACTTAAGTATATCTATTTATATATATATATATATATATATATACAGTCAAGCTTGTCTTTGGAGGCCACTCAAGGGAAACATGAATTGTTTTGTTTACTGTAGATAGGCGGTTTTTCCCAGATAGCAATACGACGTTGGTCCAACGTCGGCCATGGTCGGCACGGACGCAGTCGACGAGTCAACGTTGGCTAAACACTGGGCCATTTCCACGATTTTTTCACTGATAAACGGTGGATTTTGGTTGATTATACAACCTTGACCTAAATCAAGACCAACATCAATGTGTCAATGTCGAGCCAACGTTGGCCGAACGTCATCTTGGCGACTTTGGGCCAACGTAGCAGCACACGTTGGTCACACATCGACCCAACGTCGTATTGCTATGAGAGTTCTAGACAGGTTCTACAACACATTTCTCTTGATATGCATGGCTAATACCGACAGCTGGCCGACTCTAGATGTATGAAATATTCTTTGTTATAAAATCATAGATGGAGATAAAAGTGGTGAAGACATCGACCTATGTGGAGGTTCACCGAGTACGGGCGAGCAATGTAGCGTTGCTCTTTCGGTGAACTGTCTGTCTTTGGCATGGGAACTGGGGAAAGCCCTTCGTCTGGATGATGACGTCATTGTAGGATACGTGGCACCACCCGATTCTGCCGCAATGAACAAACTAGCATTGCAACTCCTCAAAAAGTGGTGGAAACGTGTAGGAAGCCAAGAGAAGACAGTTCTGATGACAAAGCTTCTTCAAGATTACAACATCCAGGATTGCAATGCAGGTTTGATACAATTATGTAAAATGTTAAGCCCTATTTTGGTAATGTCTTTTCCCAATCATGAGAAGTTAAGGTAGAAATCAAGTGGGATGGTATATTATGTTTTCGACAGTGCGTAAGTTGTATTAAGAGATGAGCAGGATGAAGAATAGTTTTAATTACTATTTATGTTAGAATTATAAGAATTTTGAGTCCAGCTTGAGAAGGGAAATAAAGATTGGCATTGACGATAAAAGTTTTAAAGTTCGCTTTTTTATATTTGTTTCAAGGTCATGATGAAATCTCCCGAAAGATTTGCACAACTCCAGATCTACTAGACTTCTCCCAACGCCTTAATCTTGCAGCTTCGGAAGTCGTGCAGGTCATGTCCACCTGTGTTTCCTTTCCACCAACCTCAATACGACACATTGTTCTACAAATGCTTCAAGAATGGGTACGACGTGGAGGAACAAGACAGAGGCTTCTCGAAATTTCTCAAGCTTTTCATTTCAATGATGCAGCAGACAAAATAGCAACAGGTAATTGTAGTTAACATTTTTGTTGAAGGTCTTATTTATTTTTTGAATAAAATATCTGGAATATCATGTCACACTTCGACCTTCTTGTTATCAAGGAGGTATTAATTATACTGCAAGTGCTTTTTAACATTTTTTTAAAATTGAAAAACTGTATTTAATTCTGATAAGGATAACCTGTGGAGAAACCTAACATATCTCATGTGTCAACTGCGTCTTTCTTTGTATCATCCATCGGTAGAAATTGAACGCCACCCTGGTTTCTTGGACCCCTTCTCTCATGGCATCATTGATCACGACGGTGGGGAGCTGAAGCTAGATGAACTGGACATGAGAGTATCTATCCCTGCAGGAGCAATCCCTAAAGAGACGAGATCTATGGTCACTCTTCGTGTACCTAGCTGTTGCTTATCTAAGATTCCCCTTAAGGACGGAGAGGTTCTCATTACTCCAGTTATTGAATGTTCTTTCACTCAAGAACTTCTAAAACCTGCGACTGTAGCTCTTCCACAATTTATCCATCCAGAACAACATCAAGATGACTTACGCGTTAGCCTTTACACCAAGTTAGGACCAGGTAGGCCGATAATTATTACGTTCAACTTTGTAGAAGGTCTTTTTTGTTTTCTAAATTAACAAAAGAAAGGCTGTCATTTTTAACATTTCAGCCCTTCTAAAATGTTCACCCTCACTTAAATCATAATACGATATATAAATTATCTTGAAATTATGTGAATAGTTTTAGTAAAGTAAATCCTAACACGTTTCTAAAATAATGGTGCAAATTCACATGACTTGTCTTTAAGGGCCGGCATTTCTTTTACTTGGATATTTAAAGCTTAATTTGTGTAAAATTCATACGGTATTATTTTTTTTCTTCATTTTCACTCTTCTTGTATTTTCCAAGGTACATTTGGTCACAGGAGCGTTCTTCCAAATACACCAAGAGGTTTCCACATCTCAGAGGACGTGGTTGATTTCCCTACGCATCACCTTCAACAATGTGCGTTATCATCAAGCAACTTTCGTGGAGTCCAGTACACCTGTGAAGTACATCTCCCTCTCTTCATGACTCCCTCACAGAAATCTACACTGCGTATTTGCATAGCTCATCCCTGCAACAGATATCCCGCGGTATGTATAATAGTAATGGCTTTTAATATAGCCCTCATATCTGTCGAACTCTGTACCTCGCGATCCAAAAATATGTTATCTTATCCGCTACACCACAACACATATACGTAAATTATGACATCGGAAAGGTCTTTCTAGTTCCATGTCCCATTTGTCTTTAATACGAATCTTTAAACCAACATCTTTATGAAAACTAGGTCATTTGGTTTACATGGTCATTGAGCACCGAGTTGTCATACTGTAAAAAGTTATTCGTTTTGTCACAGGATAATACCAATATATGTAGGTGAAGTGGAGGAAAGAAGTCACATTTACCTAAAGATGTGCACCTGATGAACTAAAATTCCGACATCTGTTTTATATTTTATTTTGTTCTTGTACTTGCAACTCATTATTTTATGTATCTTGATAGTGTGTGCTATTCAACACGTGTAAGTCACATAGAAAAGAAGACCTTCAGGTTATGCAATATTTAGTTAAACTATGGTCACATCACCTAAAAGTAGCCTGCTCGGCGGCCGGGAAGCGAGTTTTGAGCCAATTTCGTCCGGGCACCGAGCGGCGGCCGCCCGGGCACCGCTTGTATTTAGGGCATCGCTCGGTCGCTGCTGAAATTTTAGCGCGGAGTTAAAATCCGGGCGGTCGCCGTCCGGGCACCGACCTAATCAAGCGTTCGCCGTCGAGCGATTTAGGTAAAAAATCAAAGCCGCTAGGTCAAAGGCTGCTGAGCATTCGCCGCCCGGTAGCCGCTGGGAGATCGGTCGGTCACTGGGCGGCGAGTTCAAAATCGGTCAGCAACCTTTGACCTAGCGGCTTTGATTTTTGACCTAAATCGCTCGACGGCGAACGCTCGATTAGGTCGGTTTCCGGGCTGCGAACGCCCGGGCACCGAGCGTATTTTGGCGCCCCGCCGATCACCGGCCGGCTGCCGGGCAATTTCCTTAAAATTAGCCGGTGGCCGTTGGGAGACCGCTCGGGTTTTGGTGGGTCATCGGTCGGTCACAGCCGGGACGCCGCCCGGGGAAGTTCTCCGACTTCGCCAAGTTTTGACCTAAAATTGACCGGCGACCGACGGGAAATCGACAGGGCACCGCCCAGGCATAACTGGGGCTCTACAGCCTGTTAGACTTCTCCAAAATATCGTTGGGCGATGCCTAAATTTCAGCGGCGACCGAGCAGGCTACTAATCGCTCCTCTGATTTGTGACCATAGCTTTACTTTTTCTCTTTCCCGGCATCCATGTGACTCACTTAAAACTGTACTGTTCTTTTGTATTCACTGTATTCTTTGTATTGTCTTTGCAGAATATAAATAATAATATATGCTTTTGTTTTCAAGGAAATTACTGGGGAGAAAAAGATGGACATTTAATGATTTAATGTAATCTTTCCTTAAAAACTATCAATGACATAGTTCAGAACTCAATTTTTTCATAGCCATACCAGGTTTTGTAATATCGTAAGTATGTGGCATATTGATTTGAAGCTTACATCTAAAAGTATTCAACAAATGCCGTAGTTCAACCAATCCACCCTTCAAACATCAGATTTCCAAGGGTATGAATAATTAAGTTGTTAACTGTCTGTCATAAATCCAATACAGTTTTGTAATCCTAAGGATGCATAATAAAATGCTAATCTAATTCCAAATGAAATTCATTTGTAAGCATACTTATCTGTGCATAGAATAGTTTATTGCCATCTGTCTTCAAATCACATGCCATTTCATGTATAGCTGTTTTGATGAGATTTTATTAAAGGGTTTTTGTTTTAAAATATCCACCAGAAACTTGATCTATATAGGGATATCTCTGCAAATAGTACTTTACTATACAATATATCAGCATGCAATCATCTCCAATTCCGAAAGATTATTAAAAATTAAATTAAAAGAGAAGTTGGCCTAAAGTCGTGCGAAGAAAAGAATTTGAAATAAAGCAACTTCTATGACTTTGCCAAACGTTTGTTAAATTGCTCAGATTTGTAATCCAGGTATACAATTCAGTCAAAATCAATCACATTTTGTTGTTAGGAGATGCGCAGAAGACAGGAAAGCTTGTCGGAACCATTCTACCAGCTTGCGACCGTGATCAAGTTTTCTCTTGAATCAAAGGAAGATGATCTCAAGCTTTTGTGTCTTTCTGATTCAGAAAAGGTCCAGGAAACTGTAAGTACCGCACCAGAACTAATGTAAATAGTTGTCCGGGGGGTAGGTGTCCTAGAGCATGGTTGTCGTAGGGGGTTGTTGACTGGGGGTAATTGTCAGGGGATAGTTTTCCGGGGGAAGTTTTCCTAAGGGGAAGTTGTCCTAGGGGGTAGTTGTCCGGGGGGTAGTTATTCCGGGTGTAGTCGTCCTAGATGGTAGTTGTCCCAGGGGAATAGTTATCCTAGGGGGTAGTTGCTGGGAGTTGTTATCTGGGGATGGATGTCCAGGAAGTAGGTGTCCCAGAACCAATGTAAATATGTACAGTCACTGTCCGCGAGGTTTCCTCACACAAATGATATTGTTATCAACCTCTCCAACTACACGATTTAGATTAATCATTGAATTACCACCGATATAGATTTCTTCACAAAACTGATAATTAAAACCAAATGTTATGGACATCAACTATTTGACAATCTCCGACTCTGACATTCCATTATCCATACTTTTGTTTGAAAATGTTTTACCAGGTCCCTGTTCGTGGTCTACTGAAGGGAGAATGCAACACTCTTGACTTCGAGCTGATGTCCTCACCTGATGAGGGAGGGGCGAAGAGTATCTGTCTACGTATTGAGCAGGGCACATCAACACTCGCAGAGCAACACATGCCCACCTCTATGGAAGGTGTGTCAATTGTGGCTTATACAAAATTCAGAGAACTTTATTTCGCCATTACGGTTGAAAGAAGTTCACGCGATATAAACCTTCTTACCTTGTATATTCTTCTGGTTTTTAATGTGGAAAATAAATGAAATGAAACAAAAATGAAATAATATCTAGACAAGGGGACAATAAATGAAACGAATATAATGTATATTAGCCGTAGTACATTAAATCCATTTACAGTCACTTGTGTTGGAAAATTAAGGAAAAAATATACTTTTTTTAATGTTAAGCACAATATTTAGCCAATTATGGAAGTAAATTGTAGGCCCACATAGATTAATGTAGCTGGCAACTAGGTAAACACTTTTTTATACAAAATCTATTTCAACCACAGGCGCAAGCTTTGAAGTGCGGTGTAGACACATACCTCTTTATTGTGATACCCTGTTGTAAAGTTATTATCGCATTGTTTACACGCAATTTGTTGATTATTTTTAAACGTGGAGAACGAAATATACTCCGGCTTCATTCATTCGTAAATTAGACAAGCTGGACGCCCACGAAATCGACATTCGATTCCTTGTTATATCGTTTCTCTGTCCCTAAACTTAAATCTTACCTTTAGAATCCCAAATCTCAAACAAATAAATTGTGCAAGAAACCATATCAAGCATAAACAAAGAAAAATGGCATATTTCATACTCTATGGATATCTAATTTGTATGTTAAAGTAATGTTCATGGTAATAAGTGAAGAGCGTGATACTTCACGTATAACAATTTAAGAAATGAACAGTTGAAGTTTAAAACTCACACTTATCTTATTTAATCCAAACAGTTGAGCCAGATTATGGAGCATCCCAAACGTAAGTAAAGCAATTGTTGGTCAAAATGCATAACATAGTAATTAGGTCAAGTAATAGCTCGAAAATATTCAAAATTATACATAATTATAATTCATCAAAGAGTTGCAAACGTATATATATATATATATATGCCTATCGTTGAGTTCAAGAATCGGCACAAACCCCCTAAAAACGTTATTATATTTGCCCGAAGTAGTTTTAAAAAATGGCTATTATATTGTACTCGTGAGAAAGTGTCCATAGGCGGTGAATAAGAGTTGGGTGTACATTGGGATAATATTAATGAAAGTAGAAAAAATGTACCAATATCATCTTCTCCAATGTATTATATTGTTCCTGCCATCCCAGCTTACTTTGCTTCTCATATTATTCTCACTCCTTCAGATTTGGACAGATAAAGTTTGCATCTGACAACATGCTAAAGGTCTTGTCTGGTGTAGTCTGTGCAATAAAGGATGCACGTGACCTCGGCTATCAGCTTGGCTTCTCCCATTCAACGGTAGAGAAATACCTTGACAGAGCAGACTCCTCTGGCAGCAGCGTCTCAAGTTCAGGATTCAGGGAGATGCTTTGTGACTGGAGACGGTGTGTCCGACCGAATGAGCAGGTCAGTAAACTTCGTCTAGCTTTGGAGAAAGCTGGGTTAAGTTATGCATCCGAGGTGCTCTTGCCCGAAATTTAGTTTGGATTTACGAACGCCCTGTCCAAGATCAGATGTAAACTAAAGACTAAATAGATTGAGTCACAACTAACACTTTGCATTTCAAGTATGTGTGATGTCGCCGATACCATGAATACGAATTTGACAAATATGTGCTATCCAAATATACATTATACAAGATTAGGAAGCAAACTATTTTGTATAAGTGGAATGAATTATATTATCCTATTATTCTGTTATATTTCACCTTACTTGTAATTACATTACGATTGTCGTTATTATGTATGGTAATAATTTATTGTAATAATATTGTGCAAGCTGACAGGATAAAAGTACTGATTTAATCTGAGCATATAATACGAAAATGTCTTTATTGGTACGCAAGAGAAAAAAGGGGAAAATCATATCAATCCAGCGGACATTAATAGTCTAGCCAGTATTCATTGTATTATTTAACACAAAACAATTATCTGCTCTATGCATCACTGAACTCAATTGAAAAAGAGACAACTTGATGCGACCACTTATTGGCGAAGTAATTCGAAAGAGATTTGATAAGTGGTAACAGTAATGAAAATAATACATCATGTATATTATATTTTTGGTTTTCTTTACTACATCGGATTTTAGTGGACCTTTTGAGATTTGTTAACAAATCAATTTTAGATGCCTTTTCTAAGGTGTCGTAAATGGTTATAAACTTGTATAAACTTTACACTGAAAGCCAACGTAAAGTAAATGTTTCTGAAGAGAAATGCATGTGCCATTTTAAACCTATCATAGATTTTCTCCACTTGTTTCAAAGTGAAGAAAGTCAACAACAAAATAATTTGCATTTCATTGATTTTTAGCAAATTGCAAATGAGAAAACAAATCCCACTCTTCAGTAAATTAGCATTCTATATCGAACAGAATGGTAAATAGATTAACTATGTATATGAAATTGAATGTAAAAAAGTCAGCTTTATGTATGTTGAACTTAATGTAAAAAGGTCAACTATATGTCCACATGTATTTGGAACAACATGTTAACAAGTCAACTACATGGAACATAATGTCAAAAGTCAAAAATATATATGTGGAAAAGAATGTAAAAAAGTCAACTATATGTATGTTGATCTGAACGTAAAAGAATCAACTATATGTATGTGGAAGAGAAAGGAACAAAGTCAACAATATGTCCGCATGTATTTGGAACAAAGTGTAAAAAAGTCAACTACATATTATGGAACAGGAATTAAAAATCAACTTTATGTATGTGGAACAGAATGTAAACAAGTCTACTACATGGAACGGAATGAAAAAAGTCAACTACATAAAAACATAATGTAAAAAGTCAATTATTTGTATGTTGAACTGAATGTTAAAAATCAACTACATTTATATGGAACAGAATGTAAAAAGGCAACTATATGTTTGTAAAACAGAATGTAAAAAGGTCAATTTCATGTCCACTTGTATTTGGAACAAAATGTAAAAAGGTCGATTTCATGTCCACTTGTGTATGGAACAAAATGTAAAAAGTCAACTACATGTATGTGGAACAGAAAAGTCAACTATATGTGTAACAGAATGTAAAAAAGTTAACTACAAATATATGGAACAGGATGTAAAAGTCAACTGTATGTATGTGGAACAGAATGTAACCAATTTAACTACATGGAACGGAATGAAAAAAGTCAACTAGATGTTTATAAAACATAATGTAAATAGTCAACTATTTGTATGTTGAACTGAATGTAAAAAGTCAACTATAAGTACATGTATGTTAAACTGAATGTAAAAGTCAACTATATGTATGTAAAACAGAATGTAAAAAATTCAACTATATGTATGTGGAACAGAATGTAAAAAAAGTAAATTTCATGTCCACTTGTATTTGGAGCAGAATGTAAAAAGTCAACTACATGTATGTGGAACAAAAACAAATCAAATACATGTATATGGAACAGAATGTAAAAAGTCAACTACATGTATATAGAACAGAATGTAAAAAGGCAACTACATGTATGTGGAACGGAGTGTAAATAAGTCACCTATATGGAACGAATTGTAAAACAGGCAACTATATTGAACAGAATGTAGAAAGGTCAACTATGTGGAACAAAATATAAACAAGTCAATTATATGTATATGGAACAGAATTTAGAAACAAGTCAACTACATGTATAATATGTAGCAGAATGTAAAAATAAAGTCAACTCTATGTTTTTATATATTAAAGGATGTAAACTATATGATACAATATGTAAACATGTCAACTACATCTACATGAAACAGAATGTTCAAAAATCACGAACATTTTTTAATTGTATTACAATTATATTTCATGAATTAATTATCATAGACATAGGAATACACAAGCCATAACATTGTATACAACATGATTTGATGTATGATGCCCCACAGTTATGTTCATGAAGTTGTTCATGAAGTCCTTCTACACTATTGTATGTATGTTCATATAGTAAAGACATTAAACTTGCTTTAAAACACTATCTCAATGAGGGATATTGTCATGAAATAAAGTAGTAATTATTGTATAAATAATGACGAAAGGTAACGCTGAAACGTAACATAAAGCAACGTTTCACTTTACTCTATGTTGTTCCAATTAAAAACATTCGGATATTAGTATCAATGTATCTTTATTCAGATATGTATATAGTTTTACTCTACTATCTATATTTCCTACAATCACTCTTTACCATTATATCATATACATCATGCAGTGTAAAGTTCTATTTTTATGGTACATGATGTCGCTGTCGTGTTCTCTTTAAAATGTGTTAATCCGCCTTTGAGCACGTAATTGTGATTGTGAAGATAAGCTGATACAAAATATTGCAAGAAAATATATGTTGTGCGTCGCTTTGGCATAAGAGAAAATGTGCCGTATCTCTAAAAGTTTGCTACAATCTAATCAGGTTATATATAAATTGAACATGTATAAATGTGTTTCAGTTTACTTCATATTTGCATGTAAATGTACATTGGAAATGCTATTGGTATATTGTTTTGAGTATTTTTTGTGATATTCATATAATATGATGTAGCTTGTATAAACCAACATTTTCATTGATGTAATATATATCATTCTTTCTTAATATCCTCTCCAATTTTGTTTTCTTATATTGTGTTATAGTTATTAAGATGTTATAATCTGTGACACTTATGTTTTCCATTGTAATATGTTTTGCACTCATTGTGTTAAGAATTGTTTCAGATGTGTGAAAAATATAAATATACTTGAAAAGAAAAAAAACTGTGCAAAGGCATAATTAGTACGTATTATAATTCGTTACATTATACCTGATAACAAGGAAATAACCGGGGAATAGCATTCGAGATGTTACGTTGTCTTTATACTTTGTTAGGTCTGGATGAGGTTATCGTGTAACGCGTATAAGACATCGATTTCCGTTTATTTTTAACATTTTTTTTGCGGTCGCTATTTTATGTCATTCCAACGTGAATTTTACTTCATTCCAGTGACGCTGTACATTTGGAGAAATTGTTGAATTAGAATGCACTTTTAGAGATATTGTGCCCATTTTAACGTTATCGTCTTTCTGTCACATTCTTCTATCGTATACTATCGCTCATTTTACTGCTTTCGCTTGCTGTCATTTATATGCATTAATTGATTACGTAATTATTCTTGTATAATAATTACGTCCGATCTTATTCACTTTTCAATGCTCTTTAGTCTCTCTCTCTCTTTCTTGCCCTCCCTGTCCTCTTTCTCTTTTTTCAAACCCCATCGGCTCCCTCTTATATCTTTACTAGAATAAATATTAAAAGAACGAGCACACTTTTTAAAATTATCAACTTGTTGATTGTAGGTTTAATAATTCAATTCTGCATTGATTATTCAAAATATGTTTTATACTTGCGTAGCTGCCATACAAGGGAGGTTGGGGATGGGGGAGGTTGGGAATTTTTAAATTGCTAATATTTTGGATATAGTCACTTCATATTACCAAGGCAACCTTCACCTCACAAACAGACGGTGCTGTGATCTGCTGTCATTCATTATTTTGATAAGATATCATATATTTGTTGGTATAAAAGATTAAGTAAGTAAGTAAAAACTGAAAAGTTGATGTTCCGACAAGAGACCTGAACCTCTCCCACCCCCTCCCCCCTCACGACAAAGTAATGTTTATATGCCTCTGTATGGGGTATCCTCTTGTAATGTGAACATGTATACTGGAAAATCAAGTATTAGTGTACAGTATGTGAAAGAAAACGATGACCCTCCCCGTCAGCCATACACAGTGGAGTCCTCAGAACAGAGGTTATATCTTAGTTTATTATATTATCTACGGTTATAAAGACAATATTAACACATTAACGCAACATTAGAGTTTGTTGTTTTAATAAACATTCATGTTTCTTTTACAGTGAAAAGAATAGAGTTTAAAAAATAAATACATTGAAACAAAATGAGTACACATTTCCATGTTTCTTCATAAATGCTGGTTCAAGAATAATATACAGTGTATTGGTGATTAAAAGAGAATAATAAAATGAAATGATTCGTCTTCGTTTCTTTATGTACTAAAGCATGTAAGTGCAAAGTGATAAAATGATATTATATATCAGTACCTTTAACGGAATAGTAAACAAATAAACTGGTGTTAAAATCAAATGAGCAGCGTTAAGTACATTATATTTCTATTTAACTCTGATTAACAACAGTTTGGGACAGACCTTTATGACGTATCAGTAATTCATAACAAAATACAAAGTTTGAAGAGGAATTCATTCGCCAGGAGCATTGCAAACCTTCACATTGCAGCTACTCCTCACCAGTCGCTAAAAATACGTGAAATTAAAACTGTTATCCTCCCATGCCTATACGGTATGCCAATACTCAAATTGGAAAGATAGTTTTAATATCCAACACACTTTTGAACAAAATACGTTTAAAGCTGATGTTTCACAGTTTTAAACTATAAACGTTATCTCTCAATGTCAGTTGTCTTCTATACCGACTCTAGGGGCCTATAAAACGAGATACTGGACTGATGATCTTTCTGCTCTGGCTTGCTGTTAATTGCACAGCGCCATCTCATGACTTGTAAAAAGTTCAGCTAGATTTATAGCATCGACAATACTGCTACAGCTGACCTGAGATGGCGCTAGAGGGATTTTGCGGTAGTGCTTCTAGTTCAGTATGGCTTTAACACAGAGTTATTAATCCCATTCTGCCTCTGAATAGATGAAATGAAATTTCTTCTTCGTCGTTACTATTTCCATGACCATCTCTGTCTTAAAGTCTTAAAAAACTAGCTAACAAATCTGAGGATGAATCTATATATATAAATACAAGATTTGAATAATGCGGCCATCTACAGCTTTACATAAAAAATGTAAAAAGATTATAACGGCATAATCTATGAAGAAGAACAATGGCAAGGAATGCTCGAAAAGAGCAGTCATGTAGCATTTCCTGATGAAAAAAGTACACTGTCTTGTTAAAAAACAATGTCAAGGATTTGTTCGTTGCTGTATCGAGGCTTATTTAGACGTGAAGCGACGACTCGTTTAAAAACTGATGGCGAAAATGAAACATGCAAGCGTTATGGGGCGTTAGACATAAAGTTCAAAGACCGGGAGTATGTGTTGCAAAATTCAGGTATTTTCACCCCTGGCGATTGCCAATAGGCATTACACATTTGGCTGAATTGGTTTGGAGGCAGTGTTTTAGGGTTTGGAGGTGGTTACGGAGTCACGTCTAAAACAAACCATATCGTCCACTTTAAAGAGGCACGTGTCCTGGAGGCGAAAGATTTATCTGCCTTTCTCTCGGATCTCCACCATCCGGGTGACTTCTTTTCCAGTCTTCCCAAGCGGCTTCGAAAGCTTTCCTAACATAAGTTACGATCTCAGACGCTTTCTCACGCGTCGTCGCTTCAAATACGTAACAATGGATCGAATCTTTAGTCTGACACGTTAGCGCCACAGCGCGTGGATGCCTGAGATCTGTAGCGCAGTACGCGATACAAAACAGCGGTAACGACTCCAGCACATCGCGAGACGCGTCCTCGAACGTTATCGTGCATTTGTCCACGCGCATTGTACACGATGTGTTGATTGGTTGGTGATGCGTTTGTTGGGCGTTGGCTAACGGCGCTAACTTCTCGACCGCAGTAACCGCGTCACAGACCCGTAGTGACCCCACCGGTACGCGTCCCCCGTAACGCACGTGGAATGACCGTTCCTTGGTTGCTGTTCCTTCACCGCCTAAATCACCATCTGAATGCATGAATCGTTTTCGCAATAACGAAGGCGAGTTTCGGAGAGTTTGAAGGAATTTATGCGGGGTTCTGGGACTATTCGGACTCTGCGGTGAATTCATGTTTCTACGGTCAGATTACCAAGGTGTTTAGATATCTTCCAACGTAGTCAGACGGGGCCAGCAAATAAACAGTCGTTTTCAAATCCTTTCTTCTAGAAGAAATACTTTCCTGTGTTTGATGAACAGCCTTGCACCTAAGACCTGATAAAACAAAACAAAATGAAATATATACATTCATTAGAATTGTGTATCGATGTATAAAGAATTAAATCAGACTTTATCTGAATGTACTGTACAGTATAAAGTTTTTTAGATAATTTTCATTTAAAAAAAAAAAGATTGCAAATTTGTGAATAGGGTGTGGGCAAAGGAAAAATGTAGGGTCAACATTATAACTAAACGGGATAGGGAAAGATTTATATTATTTTCATGAGCCTAAAATGATGTAGCTCGGTTGCCAATTTGAGTATTGTGAGAATAATAATTTCTACATGGGTGGCTTGCCGATTTTCCAGTTAGAGCCCCATTGCACTATTATCAAAACATTGTATATCAGGAAAGTACTTTAATATTTCCGAATGCATGTATTAAAAGATAGGGAAGCTGAGCGTTGTGTTGCATTTTCACTGAACACAATTTGTGTTCGCCACAATCACTCACTCATTCGATAAAACCTGGAAACTTGCGCATTTTTAGGAGTAATTAAAGTCGAATTGGAAAGTCACTGGGGGCTGCTTTTTCACCTGCCCAGTGATTAAGGGCTTTGTAAGTGAATTACGTTTTAAAGGGACCATTTTAATCCCCTTTGCAATTGCGCATGACGGCATAAATATTTCCCAGAGACCAACCTGTTTCTTTGGCCAGGGCTCCAGACTTTTAAATATCCCTCTAGTTGATATGAATTGAATGTGCGTGGGACCCAAGTTTAATTCTTCATGTGCTACACAAAATAATTTCTCTGTGCTTCGTTGTAGCTTTTTTCCATAAGCTACTTACCAGAGACTTCTCTGGTTTTACTCAAAGCTTCAAGATTTGTTGAATATTTCAAGTGTAAAACTTATCTATGAATGTGTTGATGTAGTTGTCATGGTAATCAAGAGAAAAGTGGATAACTTTGCTATTGTGTTGTTCTAAACCATCCGTCTATTGATTGGTGCCCATTGTAATAATGAATATTTGCTTCATGTGTAAAGTATAACAGTGATGCATTTCCAAGCATACATATTTCAATCTTTGAGAAACCCTGATTTTCAGATTGCCGAACGGAATCGTAACAATCGCGTACCAACTAATTTGGCAGGAATCATTTACGTGTATCATCAACATTTTGCTAGCGAGGTGCAACTTGGCAGAGAGCAATTTTTTAGATGAATGTGGTCTGGTATAAATGATATGCATGAATGTCTCAGGAAGTCTCGAGACATGTTGCAAGATAGATTAAAAAAATAGAAAAAATAGAATGAATCATCATGGATTGTTTATGCATCCGCTGATAATGATCTTCCCCTCATTCTTTCTCTCCTACATCATCGTGTAGACCCCCCCCCCCACCCTCCCCCTTCGCTTTCTCTCTCTCTCTCTCTCTCTCTCTCTCTCTGTAGATCATTATTCCTCTACTTCTCTCTTAATTTCTCTCTCTCTCTCTCCCTCTCACTCTCTCTTATTTATTCTCTCCTTCTCTCTCCCTCTCTCCCTCTCTTTGTGAATAGGGTATGGGCGAAGGAAAAAGGCGGGGTCAACATTATAGCTAAACGGGATAGGGAAGGATTTATATTATTTCCATGAGCCTATTAGATCTACTTTTTGTATTTTATTGTATTGTATTATTTATTCGGCACTTTCAAGATATATAACAATATAAACATGGTACATACAAAATTGGAATGACAAAACTGTGCACATACAAATTTTTGTAGCAAAATTCTGAGTGCAAAAGATGGCGGCCAGGGAAGAAGAGAGCAAACTTAATTACTATACTAAAAAGAGATGTCAAACACCAGACATATAGTAATACTGTATAACCAGGGGAACAGTGATGGGTACGTATTTTTTACCGTACTCCTGTTCTGCATTTGCATTAATTTAAATAGATGGGGGAGGGCGGCGGGAGTAAGTATTGGATACATAATTACAAAGCTCAGTTGCCGATTTGAGAATTGTGAGAATAACATGAATTAGATTCATGCCAGCATGGACCTATTTTACGGATGCATATAACACTATGAACATGACTAACAAAGAAAGCGGACAAAATATACAGTTCCTCGGGTAGACAAAGGAACATCCCTTCACTGTTATTATGTAAAAATGTGTAGAACAGGTGTCACATGCATATTCACCTTTTTACATAATAGCAGTGAAGGAATGTTCCTTTGTCTACTTGAGGAACTGTATATTTTGTCCGCTTTCTTTGTCAGTCATGTTCATAGTGTAATCAGAAGGCGGCGACTATCATTGGATCAAAGAAAGAATCACGTTGAATGTCCATCCGTAATAGGTCCATGATGCCAGGTACACATTTATATCGCCTGGGTTGAGTGTGGCAAATGTAGATCAATATATCTTGCCAAAGGACATTAGTGCCGCGCCGGGACTCGAACAGCGGACCTTGTGATCGACAGTCCGGTGACATATCCACCCGACCACGACACCTCTAAACAAAACATAATATAACAGTACTTTGATATTCTCGAATACATGTACTTTAAAATATAGGAAGGATGGGGGGAACTGAGCGTTGTGTTGCATTTTCACTGAGCATCATTTTTTGTGTGTGCGCCGCAATCACTCACTCATTCGATAAAACCTGGAAACTTGCGCATTTTTAAGAGTAATTAAAGTCGAATTGGAAAGTCACTGGGGGCTGCTTTTTCACCTGCCCAGTGATTAAGGGCTTTGTAAGTGAATTACGTTTTAAAGGGACCATTTTAATCCCCGTTGCAATTGCGCATGACGGCATAAATATTTCCCAGAGACCAACCTGTTTCTTTGGCCAGGGCTCCAGACTTTTAAATATCCCTCTAGTTTATATGAATTGAATGTGCGTGGGACCCAAGTTTAATTCTTCATGTGCTACGCAAAATAATTTCTTTGTGCTTCATTGTAGCTTTTTTCCATAAGCTACTTACCAGAGACTTCTCTGGTTTTACTCAAAGCTTCAAGATTTGTTGAATGTTTCAAGTGTAAAACTCATCTATAATGTGTTGATGTGTTGATGTAGTTGTCATGGTAATCAAGAGGAAAGTGGATAACTTTGCTATTGTGTTGTTCTAAACCATCCGTCTATTGATTGGTGCCCATTGTAATAATGAATATTTGCTTCATGTGTAAAGTATAACAGTGATGCATTTCCACGCATACATATTTCAATCTTTGAGAAACCCTGATTTTCAGATTGCCGAACGGAATCGTAACGATCGCGTACCAACTAATTTGGCAGGAATCATTTACGTATATCATCAACATTTTGCTAGCCAGGTGCAACTTGGCAGAGAGCAATTTTTTACATGAATGTGGTCTGGTTTAAATGATATGCATGAAAGTCTCAGGAAGTCTCGAGACATGTTGCAAGAGAGATTAAAACAAGAAAAAAGAAAGAATGAGTCATCATGGTTTGTTTATTCATCCGCTAATAATGATATGCCCCATCTACTTCTCTTCTACACCATAATGTATACCCCCTTTCGCTTTCTCTCTCACCTTATAGGTAATTAATTCTCTCCTTCTCTCGTAATTTCTCTCTCTCTCTCTCTATCTCTCTCTCTCTCACTCTCTCACTCAGCATCTCGTTCCCTCTCGCTCGCTCTCTCTCTCTCTATCCTCTATCTTTCCTCCACTATCTGTCTCTTTCTCTCTCTCTTTCACTCTCTCACCCTCTTATCCAACATCTCGCTCCCCCTCGCTCTCTCTCTATCCTCTTATCTTTCCTGCACCATCTGTCTCTTTCTCTCTCTCTCTCTCTCTCTCTCTAGCTTTACACCCTCCATCTTTGTAATCACGAACCCTCACATTAATGTAAGTTTGGGTACAAGGTAACGCTCATCATTCGAGTAATGCACCTGATGTCTGAAAATGTGCCTGAAGGACACTCATTAAAAACCCTAATGATAATTTTTTTTTTTTTTTAGGGGGGATATTTTTCTCGTCTCGTGCTGCATATTAACCATTCAGAATGGCTTTTTTTTTTTGCAATGGATTATGAAAAGGATATACCGAAACCCTTAGAGAAACTGACAATCTTTATCTTTTCTCCTGCTTATCAACTATATAGCTTGCAACTCGCAAAGCCTTATATAAACGGGAAGTATCTTTTGGCGATGAGTTGGGACGATGACGTACACCGGCAAAAATAAGAAGGGGGACAAATTATCATTTTTCCAGTCTCCAGCTATCTATAGCAAGAAGGCCAAAGCAAAGTCTGGGAGAACGACTTGTCAGACCTGACAGATGAAAAGTTATTCATTGTCTCCCTCTGTCACTCGGGGTCTAAAACCCCGTTCTCACTCACTTGCTAGACCGATCCAGGCTGGATCGAATCGCAACTCGCAAAGCAAAATCTTTCCCTACAAATTTACGAGAGTAACAAGCGAACCGAACCACATAGAGCATGAAAAGTCACCTTATAATAGTATGATGATGATTTTGTAAACGTAGGGCTGCCTCGTCGGCATCGATGCTGTTCTTCACGAGGGCCCTGTAACTATTACACCTGGGTGGAGAGTGGTAAACGTTGATTAATGTCTTGCTAAATGGATTCGAATAGGCTGCACACTAAAAATGTAAAGTTGCCAACTGTAGGACAATTTTTGGTAAAATAAAATAATAAATGTATTCTTCTATAACGGATTTTTCTCAAACGTTAAGTAGCCCACTTTCCATTCTTTTCTGCTTTTATTGAAATTGAAATATTGAAGAAAAGAAACAAAATTATTTTTAAAAATCAGAGCAAATTTCTCCATAAGCGCATGCAGCTTTCCCAACTGACGAAATCCAGATAAAAGTAAGACAGCATATAACTAGACATATAAATAATTTTAAACAGAGAGAGAGTTGTGAATTATTATGGGGTGTTTAAAGGGATAGTTGAGTTCTGTTGCAGAGGGCGCTATTCGAAATATTTTTCTGTGAGATAAAGAAAAACTAGTGTCAAATTTGAAAGAACATACAATTTAAACGACATAATCATCTTTGTTTTATCAAAA